TATGTTTGGATTTCCCAGTTTGCAATTTACAGTCTTGATATAATTCAAAAAAGTCTACGCGGCCCTGCGGGTGATGAATTATGTTCTACCCTACAAACCCATTCACACGAAACATTACGAACATTTCGCTACTCTATTGTTATTTCCATGGAAAATGTTCTGATGAGCCACATCCCTTAATTTTAACAGTTCTGTCCATCACAGCTAAGACACCTAATGCCACGTACACAGAAGCAAACCATTTTCATCTCCTACGTATTCCATTAGTAAGGAGGAAGTTTCACTGAAACAGTTCCTTCCCACGAACCTATACTTTGTGGAAGTATATCCTCATCAACTGCCTTTTTTTACCTATTACTCTTACCACTCATACAACAACCTACGTTAGTAATTGTCAACTTTGCGTGGCTCTTGAGCCTTGATGAATATTGGTAAAAAAAAGTACACTAGTTCAATTTTCTTTTACTCCAGATGTTTTCAGCAATGTTGACCCCTGTATGGTTCCAACTCTTCCAATTTTTAGTTCTTTCAGTATTTTCCATGTTTTTTTGGAACTGCTCCTAATATTCCGAAAACAACAGGGATGACTATCACTCTTATGTTCCACAACTTCAGCTCTCTATCAAGATTGAAGTACATACCTAACATTTTCATTTTCGTTCAGATTTGTGTCCCACCGAGACAACGAAATCCAAAATCTAACAGATCCAATCTCCCAGCCTGGATTGAACTGAGAAGTCCGTTTGAGTCAAAAAGTCCCAGAAGATTTCATTCAGTATATTCGCTAGGACACATTTTGATTTGTGTATCGACTATTGATCTGTGTAGTCAAAATCCACAATTCCCAGGGGATCACCTTTCCTACCCAATCGCACCTATTCTTTCGCCAACATTAATCTTCAAAAATTTAAATGCAATGTCAATCGCTGTCTACTTTCCTCCTGATTACTCTTCTATTGTTCTCGATCTTTAATAATGTTTCTTTTTTCTAATTCTTGCATACCCAGTAACTCATTGTCTTAGTGGCTTTACTGCCTTGTTTGTGGTTAATCTGATTAAAAAAACCAAAAAAAAAAAAAAACCCCAAAAGAAAACATTGTTACAACGGATTTTCTTCAATTTTCATACACGCAAGCAGCAATCTTGATCGTTGTTCATGCGTGCTTCGTATTGGATGTCGTTCTGCGCCATGTTGCGACTCCAGCAATAGAGAGAACAGATAAGTTGCTTTATTGGTAACCCGCTGCTAGCAAAGAATGAATCATCTCTGGCACTTCGTCGATGTTTACATGATTTGAGATCGCAGCGATAACCATCTGCTGCATCTTGATTTAGCCCAAACAGACTGTTGCACTGGCTGCAATGTAGGCTGTTTCGACATCGTGCTCACCAACACAGCACATTTATGGGTTCCCTAAAAGGATTGCCGAGCTCCAAGAAGCACCATTCTTCTCGTGATGTTAATTAATTCGGATCCACATTGTCTACCATGTGACATGGCTGAAACGAAGCAGAACTTTGGTGGATTATTTTACGCCTTTTATGTGAAGGATCACCGCTTTTGTATTTCAGAAAAAGATGAATTTGGGGGAATTTCTTAATGTGGATATCAATATTCTTAATTATTCCAAGTACTCCTATAACTACTAGAATAATGGTGTATTTAAATGCCACTGACTTTTTCTGTGCCGTGTCCCTTCAGGACGTAGGCGATTATCGTTCTTCACAATTTCCTGTCTTTGTAGTTCTCAATAAATTCTGTCTTTTTGTTATCTCGCTAAAAAAAAAAAAAAAAAATACCTTGTCCCGCTATCCATAATTTTTATTTCCAGATTTTTATATTTGGACATATCTGGTCTATCAACTTCTTTTTTGGGAATATTCTTCTTCTTATTATTATTTCCTTCGATTTCTGTTGTAGAAACATTTCCTTCCGGGTCCCAACCAGAGACATAAGTTAAGAAATGGCTTCATGACATTTTCCACTGTATATTTTTGTAAAAAAAAACAAAAAACAAACAAAAAAACAAACTAACATCACGCACATTTTACATAATGTAATCTTCGTAATGTGTGAGCTGTACTTGTGTGTAGAATGTTTTTGTATTTCTTTAAGGCATGGGCTACCAGCAATTCCATCAGTAAGTCTATCGGAACCTTTTCCAATCAATCCGAGGGCTCCAACTCTAACTTTAATTATGGATGTCCTCACGTGCCACATTTTTGAGATTTCCACATTTTTTTTGAAGACCTTCAAAGATACATTACAATCTGCATGGACTCCATGTCAATAAGAAAGCACATATTCTGTTTTTGTGGTCTTTGGTCACGATGTCTGGGAGATTAGCTTTGATTCTTCCTTCTGTGTGTATTGTAAAGTCCCATAAAATTCTTACAGGTCCTATCTGTGTAATCAGTGTTTTTCAGACCAGTTACTTGCAGCTTCCTTCCCGTAAAAGTTGCATCTTATCCAGTGCAGATATTAGTCCTATCATGCCGAGTTTGATATACGAAACCCAATACCATGAGACCTAATCTAATAAGAGCATAACAGGCAACGATATAGTGATATGTTTTGACAAAAGTCAGGGTATAACCAAAAAGGTAGGCCTCAGTTAGAAATACCATCATGTGGGGCAAGCCAATGCATTTTGTCGGTTTCTGACTAAAGGTGTCCGCAAGTATCGAGATGTTGCCCTAAGTTGCGTTGGCTGCCTCATCCTTTAATCCTAAAAGGCAAACCTTTTTCACACCCGGCCATGATGCTCAAGCACGACTCCCGCTCATGAACAGATATGCTACGTATTTTAGGGGACATGCCCAATTGGTTACGGGAAAACGACTGACAAGCAAATTTGTGGTACTGAACGAGACATTTATTGTATCATATTTTAAGTCAAAATATCCATGTTAAGACCCCCAATCCATTAAGAACTGAAGCCATGAGAGCCATACCTGGTGTATTATCAAGGAATCTATTATAATAATATTATTGTTGTTGTTTTACCAGTTTGTGTCAGGGACTGCCTGCAACATTTATTGAGGCGAAATGAAGACTTGTTACATTTTCTAAACGAAATAAACTCTCAATAAAGAGAGAAAAATAATCGATAACAGAATTTGATTAATGTTATCTCACTTGGCTTCACCAAAAGCACCCGTTAGGTGGCGCTATTTAAGTCTATAAAAAGGCAAGCATGTTCTCTCTCTCTCTCTTTTTCCTCTTGCTTCCAGATGTAGGTAAGGTGTCCTTCGCTGGGGCACTTTCAGTTCCGTTGTCCTCAGTTAACTGAACTTTTGCACACACGCACATACACACACTTGTTTCACACACACAACAAGCACATTCTTATAGCTAGTTTCAGTGTGCTTCCTTTCAATAGTGTACACATGCAATTACTTTTCTTTATACATGCTTCTAATTCTTTTTTAAATTCCATGTTTTGAGTTTCTTATTTTTACCCGAACATCTTAGAATCTCACAAGATTCTTTAAAAGTTAAAGGAAATTAAACGATAAATGAAACGAGTTTAAATTATATGTGTGTGTGTAAGCAAATATATGGATATAGATCCGATAGTATGAAGAAAAATATATACGGAAAAAACAAACAAAAATCCTTATATGCAATTATGCTGTTTTAATGTTAATATGTCAACGTCGGACGTTTCGGTCTAATGTTGAATTGATAATGTTAATTATATTTTATGAATATGTCCTGAAGATGTTTTATTAGACCGAAACGTCCGACGTTGACATATTAACATTAAAACAGCATAATTGCATATGAGGATTTTTGTTTGTTTTTTCCGTATATATTTTTCTTCATATATATATATATATATATTATAAACTGACCTAAATTATTCAGAAAGAGAAATTATGTAGATTCTATTTGTTTGTTTAGCGGCATATCAACATGGGTCATTTAATGCCGAATTTAATTTTCTTGGACGCGTTAGTAATTTCTTTTACAAAAATGTACTGCTGGTATTTTTTTTTATTTACAAAAATATATTCTTGGTAATATTTATCTATTTTTTTTAATTGCTGCTGTATGTATTTTTATAGTTTCATAGTGTTTGACCCTAGTTTGGATATTAACTATTTGTCCATAGCTGGGACCCTAACAGGTGTTACCACCCGGGGTCAGGGTGGCCGTAGGAAAAACAGCAATTAAGAGGTGCTTACACCTCCAATCTCCCGATCAGAAGCCTTGCTGCCGGATGTAGTTTATCGTCATACCCAGGACGTATGACGTTGTTTCAGTCGAAAATGGCATCTGATATTTCTCCAAAAGTGGATGTTTTTTTCCCCTTTTTGCAATCGAAAATGGATTGGAGGATTTTAATGATCTAAAAACACTGGTAAACAGGTAGCGGTAATGCAGCCTAAGTGATTTTTTATTTAGACTAGGGAAAAAAAAACATGAATAAATAGATTCATATAAAATAATTCTATAGAGTACAGTAAATGATGAAGAAAGGCGGTAACCGATCGAAACGTGAATTAAGCATAAAATGTGGGATGAAGCGAAAAAAAAAAACTGATTCTCCCCCCCCCCCAAAAAAAAACGAACATTGTTCGTTATCAAGTGGAATCGATTGGCATTTATTAGCATTTCCTCTAAGCCTGATAAAAAGTCTTTAAATTCGAGAATGTCTCATTACCAGATATGGGTCGGGTGAAAAGTTTCTCGTTGTGGGAAGTGTTTTTGAACGTAAAACTTTTCAAAAGCGACATTTACAAAGTATTAACGATCGTGACAGTGACGAGGAAGTGATTTGTTAAGTATGCAAATTGCTGAGGGTGCTGAAAAATGATCGGCTTAGCCCGGTTCTCCAAAGGAGCAAACGGGACAATTACTACTTTTTAGAAGAGTTGCTTTATCGGGCGGGGAAATTTTCTGTCACCCGTGCGTGCGTGCGTGCGTGCGTGCGTGAAGGGCTTTAAACGTTACAAGAACAGACTGATCGCTGTGGGTATGTGGTATGGAATGTTTAAGCGAGTATTACATACGTATGTTTTTGTGACAACGACAAAACCAATTTGGAGAAAAATAAAAGAAAAAAAGAGAGAAAACTTGTGCGATAGGTAAGCAGAGAGGGTGGCAGATGGAGAAAGAGAGAGGTTAAGAGAGAGGGGTGAGAGGGAAAAGAGAGAGATGGAAGAGAGAGAGAGAGGAACGGAGGGAGAGAGAGAAACGGAGGGAGAGACAGAGAAACGGCGGGAGAGAGAGTGAGAGAGATGGGGGAAAGGGAGAGAGGTAGACGATAGATAAGAAGAATACGAAGGAAAAAGATAAGAGGTGGGTTGGTTGGTTGGAGGTGGTTGGGATTTGGACGAGGTGGAGTGGTTGGGTGGGGGGTGAGAGAAATATATTTGGTCACTGTGAAGGAAATGAAAACGTTCACATTTCTCTCGTAACAACGAAGCTTGCAGAAGTGCGTCGTTCGTTTCCACGCAACCAGCCAGCGACACCACGTGTTGTTGGGAGTTGAGCCGTAATCAGTCGGCACTCTGTAAATAGAACAACAAAATGTCCAGAATAAAAAAAAAAAAATTAAAAAAATTACTAATTAAGAAAATAAAACAATAATCAAAAGTCAGAAAAAGAAGAAAAAATCGTCCCAGACGAATTTTTAACCTTTGACAGATACAGAGAGAAAGAGAGAGAGAGAGACAGACAGACAGACAGACAGACAGAAACAGATATGAAAATAAAACAAAAAAACAATTTATTACATTTTGGTTTCTTTCATATATGTACATCCGTACAGTTCGGACTGATTTTAAGAATAACAAGAGCCAAGAAGACCAACTGCGACCCGTTGGGTCAACCTTCTGTTTTACCGTTGGGCCAACCTTCTGTTTTACCGTTGGGCCAACCTTCTGTTTTACCGTTGGGCCAACCTTCTGTTTTACCGTTGGGCCAACCTTCTGTTTTACCGTTGGTTCAACCTTCTGTTTTACCGTTTACATTTAGTTTGTGAAAGTAGTAGAGATATTTTAAAAATACATTTATTTGCATTATTGAAGTTGCTTTCAACATTAAAAAAAAATTGTCTATTTGAAGAAAGTTGAATAATATGAGTTTGGAATGTCAAAATTCGGTGTGTTGGGATTCAATACAATAACATAAGATATTGTTGAGAGAGGCTGCTCGCAATTCGGCCGTTTAGAATAATCAAACAATTTTCATTGAACGAATAAAATTCAGTAGAAAAGACAACGTTGTTTCATAAAATAAACATTAATTTACAAGCAGTTGGTGATAGATTAGAAAGTAATGTCTTTTTGTTTGGGTTACTGAAATAAAATATAAATTCTCTTTGTGTACATATGTGAGACACAATGAAATGTTGTTATATGTGTGTTTGTGTGAAAAAGTCAATACGTGTGTGCGTGGTTTATCGTAAAGAGGATTCAAGAGATAGAATTTGTTTCTTATTGACAGGGTTGCCGTAATCTGAAGCGGTTTCTTTGAAGTTACGTCAGCGCGGTCGCTTTTAGCATGAGGTCATGAATTTCACAAGCGAGAGTGGCGTGGACCTTGATGACAGCTGTGCTTGTCCTGTTTGGGACCGGATTTCGTGTTTTATACACTTTCTCGTAAGAAAATCGGCTCCATTCCCCACTTCCTACACGATAATAAATTTACATCTTTCTTTATATATGACCTGTTTATATCTTTCTTTTTCCCCACTCTCTATATATCATTCTGGCAAACACACAAGATACAAAGTTCACAGAGTTTTATACAGTAATAGGATAATTGTAATGGCAAATATTTCAACGAAGCTACAATTTCTAATTTTCGGCTAACTTTTTTCATTTTCTAAATTGTACCTTTTTTATCACAATTTTTTAGATTGGTCTACACGTCGACCATTAAAATGCTAATGCTAAATGGTGTTCTTTCTAAGCATAGGGACTATCCAAGCGGATCTTAGATGTGGCACAAAGCCGAAAGTATGCAGCACCCGGTGAGGATTGAACTCACTACTCGGTCTTAACTGATTTAGTAAAACAACCATTACACCATGTCGAAGTGTCTAAAGCGATTTGCCAAGCGTATCTTAGATGTCGTGCGAGGCCGAAAGTGTGAAGCACCCAGTCAGTATCGAACTCCCTACTCAGTTGTAAAGGATCTAGTAAGGCACACTTTCTCATCATTACACCACGTCGAAGTGTCCAGATAGATTCTGTAGCGCCAGTCTTTGTAATCTTATAAATAATGTGCAGTAAGAGAGAGAGAGAGAGAGAAAAAAAAAAACAGTGTGAGGTAAGAATAAAGAAATATCTTCGGACAAAACTGGAACTTATATCTTGGGAGCTCATTTTTCATAACTGCACTTCCTTAACCCTATGTCTGTCCAGGGCATTTTCATGTGCTCTTCCAAACCGTCCTGCGCATCACATATGTTGCACAGGACAGGTTGCTTGAGAATACCAGGAGCTGTAAACTTGGATGTGCGGGTGGTGTAATAGATAACGACTCGGAATTGAAAATCGGAGAGCCGAGTTCAAATTCCAGTCGGGTTCGTTACATTCGCTTACACGCAAAGGAGAGGTATGTTCCAACACATCTCTCCCCAGCTATGGATTAATTAGTAGAACTTGTATCTGTAAATTATTACTATCACAAAAATCTAAAATTATTTTCTGGTTTTAAATAACTTGTAAAAGGTTGATAGGCTATTAAAATTCAGTCAACCAATCAATCAATCAATCAACCTCCTTAAAAAAAGAAAACAGCAAATGTAAGAGAAAGAAAAGACTCTCCAAAAATTACTGATTTAAAAAAAAAATAATCTCAGAATTCAATGTTATCTTTTTAATTGAAAAAATGATAACAGTTTTAAAGATATTTTCAAAATTTCTTGAAATTACCCGACTGTGAAGTGTTTTAACAGAAGACAGTGCGACACCGAAATCTTGAGGCGCATTGGGAAAGTGAAAGTTGCCTTCCAAAAGCTAAGCAAAGTATTAAGAAACAGAAAAAATCGTTAGAAACAAAGAAAATTGTACTAAAAATGTTATGTAATATCAGTCCTCCAATATGGCAATGAATGCAGGACAATTTCCTCACAGATAAAGAGGGGACTTGAGACAACAGAAACAAAGAAAAGAATACTGAACTGTTACGTAATCAGTCCTCCTATATGACAATGAATGCTGGATAATTTCACATATGAAGAAAAGACATGAAGCAAGAGAAAGAAAAGAGTACTGAGCTGTTACGTAATATCAGTCCTCCTATATGGCAGTGAATGCTGGACAATCTCCTCTCAAATGAAGAAGAGATTTGAACCAACAGAAACAAAGAAAAGAACACTGAACTGTTATGTGATATTAGTCCTCCTATATAGCAGTGAATGCTGGACAATCTCCTCACCTGTGAAGAGGAGACTTGAAGCAACATAAATGTGGTTCTACAGAAGAATGCTGAGAATATCAAGGACCGACATGTGAGCAACAACAAAGATTTGAAAGAAACTGGAAACAAAAAGGAAACTTATACTTAACCTCAGAAACAGACAATTGAAATTTCTAGGGAAACATAATGAAGAAAGACGGCTTGGAAAATTTAGTACCCACAAGACATATTGTAGCCAAGCGGGTCAGAGGAAAACAACGCGTAACTTATCTAGCGAGCTTCAGTAAATGGATGGTAGAACAAGGTTTAAGAGAGATAGTGTTATGGGAACTTACCCATAATAATAATGAACTATTCTTGACATTATAAATACTGCGCCTCTCAAGAGGTATGATGGGAGATTGTAAGACGAGGAGAGATAATTGAGAGCATATTGTAAGGACATTGGAATAGTGATACTTGTCGCGACAACATAGTTCACTCTAACCAAATCTGATAGTCATTACTAATACTTCTACTTCTTTGTATTATATTTCTGTTGTAATATATCTTTGTATTTCATACCTGTGTTCGTGTTATTCTTTCATTGGTTCTAACCTTGGACCATCATCGTGATACAAGGAACTTGGACCATAACAGATAGCAAAAAGACTAAATTTATTAAGAGCTACAAAGGACAGGAAAGTTGTGGAGAGCTATGATCGCCAACATCCTGAAAGGACACAGCACTTAGAAGAAGAAACTAAGTTAGCCAGAGACATGTCTTTTTCTATATTTTTTCTCTGCCTTTGCGACAACAGATGAAGTCTCATTTTTCCCGCTATTTTACTCCGTTTTACGGTTTAAAATTTTTAAAATCTATCAATGATCCCTTGATTGAAAAATTGGCCGCTTAAGTCTAATTATGCCACCTGTCTCTTATCAATTTCAAAATGTTTCTTCAATCTATAAAAAGTTTTCTATAAAATCTTTGCTTATCATAGATATATTGAAATTCGCCATTACTTAAGATCTAGACGAAGTGATATGTGAATATCTTTTTTATGACTTTGTTCAAAAGCGTATGTCACAAAGAACTATTTGAACTGCTAGGTGAGCTTGATTCATTTATAGAAGACATTTGAATAAACCAGAACTTATACTCGGAACAAACCACCTCCATGTAGATAGAAAATGAATTCAGTAAGGATGTGTCTTATCACCGGACGTGTTCAACCTTTTCATTGAAGAGATCCGGAGACGATTAGAAGTCCTACCAGGATTTATTATTAGCGGATATAATCTTAATATCATATATGCTGATGACAGTGTTGATACTAGGTACAGAAGGGAAACAATTGCAGAAACTCTTACGGAAAGAAGTAAAGGAAAGAGAGAAGAAAGGACTAAACATCAATTTTAAGAAAACGGAATATATGGTTGTCAGCAAAAGGAAAGGCTTAACATAAGAATTACAAATTGGAGATGTTAAAATCATGCAATTACGAAAACTTAAATATCTTAGAAGTGCTTTAACAGGAAAATTTCGTTAGAAACAAAGAAAAGTGTACTGAATTGTTATGTCATATCGGTCCTTCTATATAGCAGTGAAGGCTGGATAATCTCCTCACAGATGAAAAAGACACTTGTGGCCACAGAAATGTGGTTCTACAGAAAGATGGACTGAAAATTGTGAGCAATTAAGAAGCCTTGAGCGAAATAGAAACAAAAAAGAACGCTTATACTTACAATTAGCAACAGACAGTTGAAATTTCTAGGGCACACAATGAGAAAAGAAGGCTTGGAGAATTTGGTACTCAAAGGATATATTGAAGGCAAGGAAGACAATGGAAAACAGCGCATGCCTCCTGCCTAACGAGCAATTGTAAATGGTTGGCAGAACAGGGATTAAGATGGATTTCCAAAAGTCAAACTTTATTCAGAGCTGCCAAGCACCGGAAGTTGTGGAGAGCCATGATCGCCCACACCCTGAAAAAACATTTGCACAAAAACAAGCAGCTCTACTTGCCATAATTCTCTACAAAAAAGCAACTATATTCTAATTAATCAGTTTTCGCTGATCTGGGGTCTTCTACCTTCTTTCAAGAAGTCGGCGATTATGGCTCTCCACAACTTCCTGTCTTTTGTTATTCTATGTAACTCTTGGTCCTTTACCATCCCTCTTGCTCCTTGTTCTGCTATCCACTGACTTCTACCTCTTTTATATCCCTTCAGCATATGGATGATCATGGCCCTCCACAACTTCCTGTCTTTTGTTATTCTATGTAACTCTTGGTCCTTTACCATCCCTCTTGCTCCTTGTTCTGCTATCCACTGACTTCTACCTCTTTTATATCCCTTCAGCATATGGATGATCATGGCTCTCCACAACTTCCTGTCTTTTGTTATTCTA